ATAATCTGATTATTATAGAGACATAATACAGAATATGCTTCAGGATCATATATATGGAACCTTTAATGTTACAATTTCTGATCCTCTATGGCTGCTTTGTACAGTGGAGTTCCTCAAGGATCCATCTGAGGTCCTGTTCTATTACTGTTTTTTAAAAGAAGTCACAAAGTGGTTAAGATACATAAAAAAACATTTCACTTCCTGAATGCCCTGCTCTAATATCAGTTCCTGCAGCTCACCTGTCTTTGTTCAACCACTTCAGGTACCTACGCAGGTTCCGTCAGATGAAGCTGAAGCTGCTGCAGCGTTGGAGCTTCCAGATCCTGAAGGGGCTGCAGTTCTTGCACTCACGCTGCCCCCCCATCCTGCACCGAGACCTCAAGTGTGACAACGTCTTCATCACTGGACCCTCCGCCTCCGTCAAGATCGGAGACCTGGGCCTCGCCACGCTCAAGAAGGCCTCGTTCGCTAAGAGTGTTATCGGTAAGAACATAGTGAGTACGGAGAGCCAGCAGGATAAAAAATGTTGGGTTTGAAACTGTTACTTTTTAATTAATGCAAACATCAATCTGTGAGTCAGATTTCTGTTGTACCTCATGTTGTGACTGGTGATGCGTTCAGGGACCCCAGAGTTCATGGCTCCGGAGATGTATGAGGAGAAGTATGATGAGGCTGTGGACGTTTACGCCTTCGGCATGTGCATGCTGGAGATGGCGACGTCTGAGTATCCGTACTCCGAGTGTCAGAACGCCGCCCAGATCTACCGCAAAGTCACCAATGTAAGGCTCCGCCCACCCGAGCGAGTGCTGACTGCTTCCTGTCTTTGTGTGTTTGACTCTGTGTTTGTTTTTCAGGGAATCAAACCCAACAGTTTCTCCAAAGTGAAAGTCCCCGAGCTGAAGGAAATTATTGAAGGCTGCATTCGAACCAACAGCAATGAGAGGTAACATGACCAATCACAGCGCAGCATGTACACCTTTTAATTCTCTTTCACACACCAAACTAACAAACCAACAGCTGAAAGCACATGATGAAGAGGATGATATATGAAGCTACCATAGACTGTATAATTAAAAAAGCAGCTACCGGAGAATTTTAGTTGATGTTCGAAGGTAGGTAAAACTCTCCTACTACTGGTTCTTGAACTAGAAGACCCAACGCATCCAGTGGTACCAACCACTTCATGCTAGCTTCTCGGGAAGGACGCTAAAAAATGTTCCAGATTTAGGCAAAATTTTTGGCAATTGGAAAAACCCTAACCCTAACCCCTTTAGACACCTGTTGGACGATGATCATCAGTCTCTCGGTCTCCTCCCGCAGGTTCACGGTTCAGGACCTGCTGGATCACCGGTTCTTCCAGGAGGAGCTGGGAGTCCACGTGGATCTGGCCGAGGACGACGACGGCTCGAAGGTGGCTCTGAAGCTCTGGCTCAGGATGGACGACAACAAGAAGCTCCACGGGAAATACAAAGACAACAACGCCATCGAGTTCCTGTTCGAGCTGTACAAAGACGTCCCCGAGGAGGTTGCCCAGGAGATGGTACCCACGGCGCTGCGCCTATGACATCACCCCGCAGGCCGACAGGTTAAGGTGGTCTCACCTGTCTCTCTCTCTCTCTCTCTCTCTGTCTGTCTCTCAGGTGGTGTTGGGATTCGTGTGTGAGGCAGACTATAAGCTTGTTGCCATGGCGATCAGACACAGAGTGACGGCTATAAAGCGTCAGCGGGAGAAACAGCACCGCCTGCTGGAGGAGAACCGCCAGAAGGAAGCCGTCATTGAGGAAGAATCTGATCCCGCCCCCCATTCACCTGAAGCGGCCAATCAGAAGTCTGCAGCCGCCACAAGCTCGTCTGCTGGGAAGGTGGCCAGTCAGGTGTGTTTATAGCTGGTGACACACAGCGCCTCCTGCTGGCAGCGTTTACTCCTACAGTCAGAAAAGTTTCATTTGAACCTTCCTCAGCTCTTTAATATGGATTTCAGTTAAAACCAGGATTCATTTAATTTGATGACAGTGACATTTCATCATATGTGTAACCAGTCACCTGCTTTGAAATATATTATTATTATTTGATTAATTGATTAGCCGGTGAATAGTCCTCATGTCTTAACTCACAGCCCTTCCCCACCTGGATCCAAGCCCCGCCCTCTGTAAGGACGACATCTTCGACGCTGTCATGGAGCAGCCCGGTGGATTCTGGGATCGGCAGTGTCTCCAGTCGGACGGAAGGAGACCGAGACGAGGAGGACGACAAGATCTCCAAACATACCTCATATTCCTCCGCTACATGTCAGCATATTAATTTTATTATTTCTATATAATATGCATTTGTTATATTATTGTTTATATTATTTATAATTTTATTAGAAATTGTATATCAATTACTCATATAATCAATTTTCACATCTCTTCGTCTCTGGTTGCCATGGCAGCGGACTGTGAGATGGACACCTCCTTCGGTTCCTTTGGGGTCCCAGATAAGGTGGAAGCCACGCCCCCTCCAGTCACAAACCCCGCCCCCCTACCTTCTATCCCTGCCCCTGCTCCGGTGGCTCAGGAAACTCCTCGACATGAAGCTGCTCCTCCCCATGTGACCCGGGCTCCATTCAAAGGCCCGCCCCTCCCTGTGCTGCGTTTCCCCAAGGTAAACAGGGGGCGGGGCTAACGTAGAGGTAGGGGGCGCGGCTTCAGCTATAACAGGAGTGAGATATTTGTTCTGTTTTACCCAGGAAGTACGCACATAGGTGGAAAGTAAAGAAAGTATTTAAAGGCGTACTGCACAGGATTTGTCCGTCACTGTTTCTAAACGCATCATTCAGATTCGGCCCCGCCTCCCCAGAGAGCGCAAGCACCTGTGGTCGAGCTACATAGAGAATGAATAAGGAGAGTGACGTTAGCAAGAAATAAAATGTATGTTTTCTGATTGTTTCACAGCGGTTACGTTCTAAAGCACAAATAAACATTGACACGCCTCGGCACAACCCCGGAGGGTTATTAAAATACAGGCAGATAAAGTCACGCCACAAATAATGTTTTCTGCTTTCCCTCCGATGTTTCTATGATGCTTTGCTTTAACTCTCTGTGATTTACAGAGTTTCAGAGACATTAGCCAACAACTGGCCTTAGCTTGTTGTTAGCCACTTCAGCCGCTAACTATGTGTTGCTGTAGTATGTATGTAGTTAGGTGACTGTGGTTGGACCGGGGGCTCAGAGCTCAGGGCTCAGAGCTCATTAGCTCATTAGCAGCAGTTAGCAGTTAGCTAACAGCTATGAGTAAATATCCATCTGTGAACTCTGTAAATCCCTGAGAGTCGATGTGTAACTTTCCTTCAACAGAAAAAGAAAGTTGAAGGGTTGGAAACGCTGCATTCAGGGCAGTCTGAAATCTGAGCTTTTTGCT